ACGCAGAAGGTTGAAATAGTGGTGAGCCTCTGGCATCTTCTTGATGAAGTTAGTTTATTGCTGGCTGGGTCTTTAGCTGATTTAATTTTCCTGTATGTCAACAGAGTGGGACAACAACAGAAAAGTACTTGAAGGAATTAGATAAAGCTCTTGAGGTATAGATTCAGCTATCCTTAGCCTGCTTCAGGTCTTGTTTTATGCTGGACCTTCTCTTCTCAATTTTGATGCCCACATATGCTGTTAGTTGATCTGGTGACACTTATATATCATTCCCTGATGTTTTTTCTCCAGCAATTCGTTCCATTTTATATGATACTTCACAAGTTTTTTGGTTTAACTTTCCATCATTTTCCCCTTTAGGGTCATACTTTTTGAAATGCATTTACTACTTTTAATGTGTCTCTTCATCTATTCTTTTATTTATTGTTATCACAATGCATGATGCTTTGCATGCATCCATGTTTTCATCAGCATTTTTGCAAACTTGTACTTCATCTCTTGCTTTGTGTTTTTGTCTTTTTTCATTCCCTCTTTCTTTTTAATTATTTTTTATATTTAACTAATTTTATTTAATAAAATAGTCTAGTAAAAAGTTCCTTCTAGGGCTATTACACATTGTTGTTATTGGTTGTAAATGTTAGGAAGCTAGGCGTAATTTTGCCCCTGAGTTGATTGTTTACAATGCGGGCACCGATATCCTTGATGGAGATCCACTTGGCGGGTTAAAGGTAAATTCATCATTGGATCTATACTCTTAATTTTTGTGTTTTTTATTCTATTTGTCCAGTACTTTTTCTTCTTTTGCAAGAAGTAAAATGAGATCCTTACTGCACTCTATGAATTGGCTCTGATTTGGCAACTCAGCTTAACTTTTCGTAGAGAATTGTCCTTCTGATGATAGGCTGAGAAAGCAGCCTAAAATATCATACAGAAAGAAGAAATTTAGTGGAAGGAACACATCCATGTAAATTTTACCTCATATTATCTACTAACATGGTTATGCTGATTTATAAAACTTTTGTATTGCTCGCCCCATGACCTCTGCAAAGCTTCATTTGCCAGCTTATAGTTAAACTGAATGAGAGCTGCATTGGTGAGGATGCATCTTCAGACCTTTAGAAGCAGAAGAAAATGTCCTTTCTTTTTACATTGAGCTGTGAAAGAAAAGCCTTCATTTATTGTGTGTCATGTTTTCAGTTCAATAACTATTTCTGAATCAAAGTTGCAGCAGAACAGTAGCAATGAGGATTTGTAAGATCATCTTATAAAACTTAAGAGAGAAATGTTGAAGTAATTAGAAATTGATACGATAACATTCCTACTGAAACAACTATTATTAATATTTGAATCTAGTATTGATTTTCTTCTTCAGCCAAGGTGGACTGACAAGAGTGCAATTAAAAGCAATGTTAACATAGATTTAAGGATGCATGGAATAGAAAGCTACATCTATAATTTTGTAGATCTTAACTGTTGGTTTAACTATAGATAAACGTGTAAGACATTGGGGATGCAGTTCTTTATGGCTGGTTGGCACATTCCTGAATATATGTGCATGCAGCTAATGGATGAAATGGTATAGAGACAAAGGATACAGACAAAATGTTAAGAAGTTGGAGACAAATACAACCAAAAGAGGTGTTTAAGATGGTTCATTTATATGCCCTTTCAATTTTTAGGGCATTCAATGAAATATACTTAACATTTTGTTTTTAAAATATATTTGTTTGTTAGATAGTGCATCTTTGCATAATTAATATTATTGAGTTCTGACTTATGGTTATTGGTTTGCTTTTTCAGGTAATGCCAGATGGGGTAGTTCAAAGAGATGAGAAGGTCTTCAGGTTTGCTCGGGAGAGAAATATCCCTCTTGTCATGGTCACTTCAGGTACAGTGTCTATGTAGCTTTATGTTTATGCTTGTATACAGACAACAAATACGTGAATCTGCATGCACACTAGAAAGAGATTTGGGACTTGCTTTTCTACAGTCTATAACTTATCTGTGTTTCGGGCAAACTTGATTCTCTTCAGCCAAGGACCATCTTTTGACTCTGATCCTCTGCCTGGTCTTGTGAGCTTGTTGATCATGTTCCTCTTCAGTACATATTCTGTAACTCATGTTTCTAGATGTGAGTTATTCTAGGATTTCATCTTCTTCGAAGCATGGTAAGAAGAAAATCACTAATTAAAGAAAAATATTGGTCCCTAATAATTACTCATTCCTTGACTGGATGGGCAAAAATAGATGGCCTCAATATGCCTTGCAAAGGCAAAAGATGCTGCTTTTACCGTGATTGACAATTTCTTTTTCCTCCGTGTGTCTGTGCACCAAAGCCAACTAGCCTTGAACCTAAGCCCTCTTTAGGTTTAGTAGGAAATAATATTAATTTCGCTTGGTAATTGATGTTGGTCCTTTTTTCAGCTGTCAAGATGTAGTTCTCCTGCTTACCCTTTGTTTTAGAGGGGAACAAACTGCTAAAAAGGTAGAAAGAATTGTTTATTTATTTTCCATTGTCTATCAACAAGATGTGGAATGAAGCTAGGTTTGAGATTGCCGACGTTGTGAGATATCCACAACCTGAGATGATGCATATAGGAGACATGGTAGAAGTTGTTTGAGCTTCCCGGAGAATCCATCCTAACGAACTTCCATTTTGCTTTTTCCTGTTTCAGGTGGCTATATGAAATCCAGTGCCAGAGTCATAGCAGATTCCATAATAAACCTATCGAGGAAAGGATTGATAGATATAACAAGTCACCAACGAAGAAGATAAATGACATACGGCCCCTTTGCCACCATAACAGTCCAGTTCCCCTGGAGAGTTTCAAGGCATGAATTCTGGGTTCTTTGCACAAAAATGAAACGAGTTTGTGACCGGAAGTCCTTTTGAGTAAGCAAGTAACAAGGGTGAGAAAATTAGGAGACAAAAGTGTGAGGTTTATGTAGCAATAATGCACATAGGAGCGTGAGAATGTCTTGGTAGTTCTTTGCGCAAGTAGTTAGCGTTGCGGTTGTGTCTAATATTAACGGCTGTGACTCAAAGATTGGTTAAGATTATAGAAGGTTGTAATGTTTATAATTTTGCATGGGATTAGCTCTGCCCCCTACTTGTCTTCCTTGCCCTCTAGGATTAACTGAACAAGTGATACATGAAGAAACTTCTTTGATATGTAAAAGCTTGTAATATTTACAAAGAAAAAGTGATATAAGCTCATTTTACTGGCCAATCGGTCCATTTGCCTGCTGCGATGTGGCCGTTTATCGGCCTATGTCTAGACTCCAACAGTCAAGTGGGACGAGATCACTACTCCCAAATGTTGGTGGGTCCGATGTTTTATTGCTGCAGTGGATGTGCCGTCAGACCGGAACTGCTTCATTCATTTGGGATTTTTTTGGTTAAAAGTTTCATCAAAATTAAAATAAATTTACTTAATGGCATAATAGTAACTTGATAAATGGTCAAATGTTTTAATTAATTCAATCATTAATATTAAGACTTATTTATTTTAAAATAAATATGTAAAATTTATTTAATTTAACATAAAAGTAGAATAATTTAATTGAATGAATAGGAGAATAAAGGTTTATATGAATTTTTTAAAAATAATTTAAGAGATTTTTGTAGATTTTATATTTGTATATTTTTTGTGATTAAAAAGAAACAAAAAAATGAAAATAATTTTGCTCTCTTGTTCTCCTGCCGAATGGGGGGTCGTCCTACTTTCATGAGATCTACGCCTCTATAACTAACCTCCCCTCCTAATGAGTTTAGGCTTTTATCAATGAACAATTATTAAAATTAAATTTCATTAAATTATTTTTAAAAAATAATATCCATGTATAAGCTTTAATAAGAAAAACAGTTTGAAATCTTGGTCCTCCGAAGAAAAGAAAATAAAATAAAAGAAAATTGCTAAGACAATAAGGTGGCGTTTGGTACATTACAATGCAATGTGATTACAAGTAATGTGATTGCAAGTAATGTGATTGCAAGTAATGTGATTGCAAGCAATGTGATTACAGGGAAAATAACATTACAGTGTTTGGTATGTAAGCAAAATAATGATTAAAATGCAGGGAAGATAACATTGCAGTGTTTGGTTTATAAGTACTTTAGTGGGAATGTAAGTTAATTGTCAAAATTACCCCTAATTATTAAAATATAAGTTTAATATATTTATATTTTTATTATTAATTTTTATATAATATCATTTCTTAAATATATTTTTAATATCATATATTTTATTTTTATTTATTATTATAATATTTTATATTTTATTTTTAATATATTTATATTTATTATTAATTTTTATATAATATCATATTTTAAAATATATTTAATATCATATATTTTATTTTAATTTATTATTATAATTTTATATATTTTATTTTAAATATATTTATATTTTTATTATTAATTTTTATATAATATCATTTCTTAAATATATTTTTAATGTCATATATTTTATTATTATTATAATATTTTATATTTTATTTTTAATATATTTATATTTATATTATTAATTTTTATATAATATTCATATTTTTAATATATTTTTAATATCATATATTTTATTTTTATTTATTATTATAATTTAATATTTTATTTTTATTTTTTAATATATTTTTTATATTATATATTTTATTTTTATTTGTTTTACCTATATTATATAAATATTAATTTTTTATATTTTATTTTATTTTAATTTTTATTCTTATATTATATATATATTATTTTAATATTTTTATTTTAATTATAATATTATAAAATATTTTTAATAAAGTAATAAAATTAAAGGGTAAAATTGTTTTTAAGAACATTACAGAGTGCAATATAATGTGATTGCATTGTAATTTTACATTGCAGTGATCTGTTACTAAACAAACGCTGTAATGTAATTTAATAAGCCACATTACAAGTAATGTAAGCATGATGTATCTTATCTTTGTTAAATCTTAATTAATGATGACGACAAGTTGACTCCGAAGAACTCTTCAACCGTACTGCTACTACGCACTCTCTCCTTCTCTCCCGTTTATTTTCAGTCTGCCTTTTTTCTCTCTTTTACATCTACCGTCGCGCCTTTATCCTTCCAAAATTTTCCTTGCCTGTCCTTGTCAATCTCTCTCATCATTTCCTCTCTCTGTCCCCAACTTGCGCCGAAGACAATTACTCTTTCGTTCTCTAGTTGCATCAGCAGCAAAAAGCAGAGGCTTGTAACCTGTCGCCGGGGGCGTCGTTCCAAATGTTGAGAAGATCAGTCTCCTCCTCCTCCTCCTACGAGCTTATTACTTTCTTGGTCTTTACTCTTTTTTGCTTGGCTTCGTTTTCACTGTCTCAGCAACAACAACTCATTGAGTCGGATCGCTTCGACGACGACGTGAACGCCACCGTCTCTAATGCCTCCTCTATAACTAAACCGAAGGACGGCACCTTTGCCGCCATCATTGATCGAGCTCTCGAGAAGGAGTTCACCGAGAACGAACAAAACGAAGGTACTGTCCTTCCTTGCCATTGGAGTTTTCTTAGATTAGGGTTTAGACCTTAAATCCAGGCATCAAAACCTTACTAAATAACATATTCAACTTAATTATACTTGTTTATTCTAGTTCTTTTTATAATTATAGCAATTAATTTTTTCTGTTTCTAGCACGATCTATTATCGGTTTATGATATCTGTTTCATTGCATGCTTTATAAGATCTTAAAGATTTAATGAGAGTTCATTTATCTAAATTCTTTAAAATTAGATTTGCTAGTTTTAGTTTTCTTAATTAAGAGTTAATTATTCTAGCTTAAATTTGTTAAACCTTGCCGTACTGCAAAACTTCATGGGATCTGATGCCTCATACTAACGGCATACTCAGACGTGTTCTTTGGATTTAGGAATAGTTGCTGTGGATAATTCAATATTGAAGAAAAAAAAAATCAAGTTTCTAAAGGCTTCCAAAAATGGTTGGCTTGAATTCTTATTTTGGAGTCTTGGGCTGTTATTATTTCCTTATCCTCCATAAGAGTATAAATCCAAAGAATATTCTAATTCCGAACTTTTATTATCATTTTCTTTTACTATTGCTGACAGTAAATGATGATGCTGGAAGTTTCAACAACAGTGTGGCAGAACAGCAGGTTGGTGGTACTAGTTCTTTTGATTATCTTTTCAGTTTGTACAACTTGCTGAACCTAATTTATTTTACATTTGTATGTTAATCAGGCTGTTTTGGAAACTGTAGCCAGGGTTAAGACAAAGAAAAATGATACAAAAGAGGAAACGTATGTGCTTCTTTTTTTAAATTAGTAGATGTTAAATTGTAGCTTTTGAGTTCTAATTACTTTTATTGTTCAATAGAAGAATGTAAGTATCTTTTGTGATGATAAAAGAATCGAATTGTTTCCAGACCATATTTTCTTTGTAAATAATTAGAAACATGCAGTTCTCTCACCCCTTTTGCAACCTCCTTTTAGATCATTTCAACTTCATGATGTTTTCAATCTAGAGAATGATAACAGAGCAGAAGATACACCTATGTTGATCGATCGAAAGGTTAGATTGGTTCACTTTAAACTTCATGTTGTAGTATATAGTCGTACTTCAAGTCTGAGAGGGTTGTTTTTTTCAGGACAACGTCTTCATTATATCTAATTTTAAATCAAAATTTCCAGTCTTACAGCTTGACTTAAGGTAACTTTTTATTATCTTCAGTTTCATTGAAGTTTCTTTTTACATTCAACTAATAAGTTGAGCTTTTTTGCTTATGCCATGTAGACTGATATCAGATTTAGTAGTTGTCATCGTGTCTGCAACTTGCGGTGGCATTGCATTTGCTTGTGCTGGACAACCGGTCTGATTATATTGATAAGCTGAGTTAATTTTGGACTTCAATGTTAAGATCTACCTGAGAGTCTGGGTGTACTAATTTCATATATATGGTTGACTGTGACATATTTCACAGGTGATTACTGGATATTTGTTGGCAGGATCACTCATTGGACCTGGGGGTTTTAGCTTTGTCAGTGAAATGGTGCAAGTATGTTGTTTACTTCATTACAATTTTACTCTCAACATTGATGGCTTATTTATTGAATCACGTGTGACTGTTCTGAATAATGGTTTCTTGATCATAAAATCATAGTTTACTTTTTTGGCACAGGGAGCCCTTATTATGAAAGTTATTGTTGTAGAACCTAGAGGCGATGGTTTTAAGTGCCAGTAATTAACATTATGTGATTACCCTCTGTTGTACAATTGTTAGCAACTGAAATTAAATTATCTTGTCTTTCTTGTGGATGGCTTGGAAATCTGATATTTCCCCACAATATATTTGCTAGAGTTATGATCATAGCGCATGGCAGGCTATGCCATTTGAATCCCATGTTTATTGGTGTATTCCTGTATCTGACTGTCATAACTTTAATAGCTTTTATTTTTCTTTTTCATGTGAATTGGTTTTTACAGGTTGAAACAGTAGCTCAATTTGGTGTGATTTTTCTTCTTTTTGCATTGGGCCTAGAGTTCTCCATTGCAAAGGTTGGCTTATGTGTCTGAACCTATTTTTTTCTATTTTGATACTGGTCTTAAAACCGTTGTTCATATCATGCCTCTTAACTTCATCCATCTTATTTTAAGCTTCGAGTTGTACGAGCAGTTGCTGTCGTAGGAGGGCTACTCCAGATAATTCTATTTATGTGCCTCTGTGGAATTTCAGCCTCAGTATGTCTTATAATTTTTTATATAGTCTATGTAGGTGTTGGTTCATTAATCCTTATTAAGTGATTTCACTGCCTTTATGTGAATTTGAGGTTACTGAGGTTACACACATTGGATGTAAATTAATTAAAGGGGAAAAAAAATCTGTAGTAATGTAGCATCGTTTCACATTATATCGGATCATAAAGAGGCTTTTGCTGCTATGGTGTTCAAAAGCTAAATGTTTCCTGCTTCTTGACGTCAAATCTAATTTTTAGTTTGCTTTTGTTGGTATGATATTCTTTTGTTGAATATGGTTTCATGCTTTGGTGCTAACATGTTATATTTTTCTTTCTCTTGTTATTATAGACATGTTATACCACATTTCTAATTCTGAATCCTGCAGTTCTAATTGGGTGCTGTTTGCAGTTATGTGGTGGTAGACTTTCAGAGGGTGTATTTGTTGGTGTATTCCTTTCAATGTCTTCAACCGCTGTGGTAAAATTTAGTGCTAATCTGGCGGAGACACCTACCACGCCTACACATTCATTCTTGCACTTACTGATAAGCACACATATGGACACACGTCACACATGAGTCATCACACCCTTTATTGTGACCTTTATTGTTTTTTAGTATTTGAGGTTTTAATGTTGTCTTTTTATTTTACAATTTCAGGTGCTTAAATTTTTGATGGAGAAGAATTCTACCAATATGCTTCATGGCCAAGTCACCATTGGCACTCTTATTCTGCAGGTATTGATTCTTTCAACCTACCCATTGTCTTATTCTTGAATTCCTGTTTCTTTCTCAATTACTCTGGTGTCCTGAGAAGTTTTTATCTTAGCAGGATTGTGCTGTGGGATTGCTATTTGCGTTGCTTCCAGTTCTTGGTGGAACTTCTGGTGTTTTTCAAGGAGTAATATCGATGACTAAATTGTAAGAGGAAAAATAGCAGACGTGTCACATTCCAAGTTTCATCTCTCTTTCTTTCTCTGTGTTAGTTGATAAATGTCAATGGGTCCTATTCATGTCCTTTAGATGCCATAAAAAGGGGAAATATGTGATTAATGATTAGGCTTAGCTTTTCATTGAGTGCATGGTTCCTCACACTCTTTCTTAGATTCGTGAACAGTTTCACCTAAAGCTAGAAAGATAGATCATCGGTCAGTTCAAATATATATCATTGAAGCACCCATAATTTTGATCAGAATTCAAAGATATTATCGTTTTGATTCATCAAGGTTTGATGCCTTATGTTTGTGATGGTATAAAAAGTGGAAATGGGGCTTGGATTAGGATGAAGACTATAAGTTCTTGTTTTTCCTCTTTATCTTTTTTTCCATTCCTGGTCTTTTTTGGCATTTTTAGGTGCGGAGTATTGAGTTACTTTTTAACACTAAATATTCTATTAACCAGGTTGGTCATGTTGGTTGCATTTTTGGCTGTTTTGTCAATATTGTCTCGTACCTGCCTTCCTTGGTTGCTTAGACTGATGATAAGCCTTTCATCACAGGTATGTATTTTCCTCTGTGGACATAATCACATTCTGAATTTTTTTCCACTGTATGATTGTGAAAACATTCATATGCGTGAGTGAGATTCATGTCTTGATATGACTTGTGTTATGCCTCTTATCTATGCAGACCAATGAACTTTATCAACTGGCATCTGTGGCATTCTGCTTACTTGTTGCCTGGGTTTGTTTCTTGGTTCTTCTTGATTTGCCTTCTTTTAACTCTCACTTTGTCAAGCATCTTGTTATTTTGTATATCCACAGAAAAACCTCCTTGATTCATAATAATGGTGCTACTTTTATCTTTTGAGAATTTTCACTATACCATTGTCCATACTATTTGTTGACATGTGAACCTCTGACAAGCAGAGCTAGTGATGAAGCCTAACCTTCTGATGTTTAAATACTGATGCTCAACTGTCCTTGCTGAAATATATATATATATGTGTGTGTGCGCGCGAGCGCACGCGTGTTTAATGTTAACCAGACACATTACTTGTGTTTTGGCATCTGGATGAGATTCAAAGTGTAGAAGTACTCAATTTTACCCTCATACCAATGTTGCAATTTGAATGCTTTAGAATGTATTTGATTTGGTAATTGCTTTAAGAAAAAGCCTTATGAATAATGTTTTAGGTTCAGGCATTATGCCATAGACAATTGGAATTCTGCTGGTACATTACATGCACAACTGCTTTTCAAGTCTTTACTTTAAGATATGGAAAGGGGGAAAGAAATCATGTGGTTGCTCATATCAATTGTTTGTTAAAGTAATTTAAGCCAGTCAGACATCCGCAAATTGTGCTTTGGAACTCTTTTTTAATTGATTGTGTAAATTTCAGTGTAGTGACAAGCTGGGGCTGAGCTTAGAATTGGGTTCATTTGCTGCTGGAGTGATGATCTCAACAACTGATCTTGCCCAACATACGCTGGAACAAGTTAAGTTTACATTTTACTTTGCACACTCCATTCTATCTTGATAAGTGTATACGTTTTGTGTGCTTGGCACATTGCAATATTTATGAGATAAACAAAGTCGTAATCTTTCCTGTCATCTAAAATTTTGTGGGTGTCAGGAATGAACAACCATTTACAGAAGTGGTTTTTCTCCAACTTTTCTGTTTTGGTCTTTATCCTAGAATCCTAGATTTCTTCCATCCCACCTCTCAACAAACATTCACATTAGTCGTAGGAAGGGGAAGGAGAGATTTGTGCTTGTTCATGTGATCATGTTCTCTGTAATTTTTCTGGACTAAAGCAACGGCCTTAGTTTTCTATGACATTGGTTTATAATTAGCCGGACTATGAACTGACTTAAAATGTGCAACACAGTTCTCTTCTTTTTCCCTTTGAATTATTTTGGGGCTTCTGACATTTAGATTTGATGGTATTATCAGTCTATCCCTCTAGTATTCCCACAATTGAAGTTAGTCTCGCTGTGCAGATTGAACCCATTCGCAATTTTTTCGCTGCTCTCTTCCTTGCCAGTATTGGGATGCTGATCCATGTTCATTTTCTCTGGAACCACGTTGATATCTTACTTGCATCTGTTATATTGGTTATCACAATAAAAACAATAATAATTGCCTTGGTTGTCAAGGGTTTTGGCTACAACAACAAGACTTCACTGCTTGTAAGATTTTATTTGATGCGCACTCGATTGTATATATCTGAATTTTTCTCTAATTAGGGTAACTTGAGTTGCTTTACATGTGCAGGTTGGAATGTCTCTGGCACAGATAGGAGAATTTGCATTTGTTCTTCTCAGTCGTGCTTCTAATCTCCATCTCGTCGAGGTCAGTGCTAGTATTCAAGTTCATCTGATTGTTGCTTAGGCAAGATCCCTTTCTGAGAGAAGTTTGTGATATTAAACATAGTTTGTGGGCATTATAATCTACTTAGTAACTGAAATCTTGAGCATAACAGGGGAAACTGTACCTGCTACTTCTTGGGACAACAGCACTTAGCCTGGTACGAATGTTGTTTGGCTTTATTTGCATGGTATTCCTTCAATTGTGTCAAGCGAGGTGATAAGAAATTTAATTTACAAAAAAATAGGAAGATGCTACGAAGGAGGAAAAAGCTAAATGGATGCAAGTGCAGTCGACGGCTATTTTTGTAGTAATAGGCTTTTTAGCTTTCTGAGTCTACTTAATATCTGCAGGTGACAACTCCTCTGCTGTTCAAGCTAATACCTGCCATACTACATCTAGGGGTACTTTTACGATGGTTCTCCCCGGAGAGAGAAAGTTCCATTGAGGTAATTACTAGTTTCAACTGTTGGTTTCAAATTTCTACAGGTAACTCAAATAAATACCTTTTCCAGGTTGGAATTAAAGCAGATAGCCTCCGTTCTGACAGTGGAAAGCATCGCATTGTTTTGATGGCCCAAGAATCTCATGATTCGTAATTGTACCATTTAAACCAACAGGGAAGAAAAATCTCCATTACCTGACAGGCATTTTTCACCGTTGTCAGCTTTTGCCACAGTGCAGATGAAAACTACTGAATGATCTCTTAAACAGAGCTCGTCCGGAATTGTTTCTGATTATTTTAGGTCTACTAACCCCTACTACATAGATCGACAAATTTATTTGAGCCTCCTCAGAAAGCAACGGGGATGGGATAACCTAACCACTGAAAAGAGCTAACAGATGAAGCAATATGCCTTGTAATGATTTTTCACAGCCATTGGACTTGTTTGTTTTTAGTGTAATCATAGTTTTGGGCATTTAATTAGAAATTTATTGTAATTAATAGTTCTCGTACTATTTTTATTTTTATTTTTTGAATCTACGTTGTGGGATTTTAAATGTATCATACAATATAGTTGGATGTAAGTTTCTCACATTGAGCACAAAACCATCTGGAGCGTTAGCTCTGTATCAACTGATTATTTTATTCCCCGCTGAAAAGTCCAACAACACAAAGTACATTTTGTCGTTGCAAGAAAAAGATTTCTTATCATGATCGTCATTTGTTGTGAGACGTGATGAAGTTGAAGAGGAAAAACTCAAACCTAAAACCATAATGGTACTAACGAAAATTAGTAGTAGTACTAACAATTATTAGATCTAGTGTTGTCATGGATATTTTTTAAAAAAATACTATTTAACATAAAAACTAGTGGCTTTGCTTTGCTTGGGAGTGTAGACTTTGTAAAAAGTTGTATCAAACTTAGCACTAATGGAAAACCATCATTAGTTTGATTGGGTTCGATGTCATGTTTTGTCAATCTTACCCTTTTATTATTTAACAACACTATATTTTGCCTCGTTAAAGGCTACATGATGCAAAGGAAGTGTGAATTTAGTGAGAAAGTGGATAAAAAGCCAAAAACAACTTTGGCTTTTCTATGACAAAAGGTACGTTCGAAGATAAAATTAATAAATAGAAAAGAAAGAGAAGACATGCTCGTAGGAATAGACACGGAGTCCTAGATAAATAAGTGGCTTGTGATGTGAAAAGCATGGAGTTTGTATGTTACTATTGCTTGTAAGTAAAATAAAATAAAATAAAATAACAAACATATGTTTGTAATTATTATATGACATGATAACACGATGATGCTATCATAAACTTAGAATTAGAACGGAGACATACATGCATGCATCTCGTGTTAGTTGTGCAAAAGCAACTGATTATTACATTGTTTCGGATCATCGGATAGGACATGTGGTTTTTTTTCCTGAACAAATTATGAGTCTTCTCATGATCAAATTGGGAATAAATTGGCTTACATTAGTTTTTTGATCATCATGTAAGTGTTTAAAGATTTTTATTCTTTCTAAAGATGGTAAGACTTGGTCAGCTTTTGGTCTATAAATTATAGTTTGATTGAAAAAGTTAATAGCCATAATTATTCTTAGACCTAATATGAATCATGAAATTTAAAGACAGAAATAGAAATTTGTAAAGCTGTCCTAATTCAGTCCGTACCCAATTACCTATCATCAACATTGATGTTTTACCCATTTACAATCCAGGTCCCAAAAAAATCATTAAACCCTAATCATATGATCTCAACTAACTTAAATAAATTTAAATATTAATTTAATATTATCAATTTTAAATTATGTTGATTTTTGTCTTTTTATTGATATATAATATATTTATCAAATACGATATTAAAATAAAAATGATATAAATCAATGTATGTATGGACGATACATATTGACGAACAAATTATTAGCAATAATTTAAGATACTGACAAAAGAGTAATCAAGGAATGAATTGTTTTCTTTTTCTATCTAACTTTTATGAGAAAAGAGAGAATCTAATTAAATTACTACAACAAAGCTCCTTAACCGCACTAACAGATAATTGGGGTGGATATATTTATACTTTTCTTTTTCCTTTATGCAAACAATCAGGCGGCCTCTATTTGCTTTTGCGTTTGTTGATGCAAGCAGTCAAAAAATCTTGGCCGTTAATATCAATTTCAATGATTATTGGTTTCGGCGTTTATGGTGTGAACAGCAAGATGGAGATGGAGGTTTCCGGAAGCCCAAGGCCCTTAGAAATTTACATTACATCACTTTTCACAAAAGCAGACGTAAGGAAAACATGGAGTGACGTTCATGGATACTTGATTAAAGTTTAATCAATGTGATAAATTGACCAATCAGATCTAAATTAAGTGTAAAACTTGTGAACAAGTTGTGGTTTACCTAATAATTATTATAATTTAATAATATAAGAGTCGACTTCATACGCAAACCATTAATTTCCAATTAGATTGGTTCTTTTCATGGAATTTGTGCCTTTCACAACGCATTCCTACTATTGGAGATGGTATGATCACAATCATGTAGAGAGTATTTTAATTTTTTTTAAAAAATTCAAACCTTGTTTTTTTAACGTAAGAATGATATATATTTAATTCACATAAATTTGTGTAAATTTATGGTACATATCTTGACTTTTAAGTGTGTAAATTTGACAATTTGATCAGTTTTTCAACATCAATGTTTTCGTAAATAATGAGGATAAGATAGGTTGTGTAGTTTCGAGGTTGTCTAAGTTGGTAACATCCTCGTCCTCAGATGACAAAATATGATGTCCCAACTAACCTTGTTCAGGACTTTCAATTTCCGTCTAAAATAAAACCAATCAGCTTTCTAAACAAGGTGGTGTTTCCCCATGACGAAGACCAGCCGGGTCCCTCGTTGGTCGTCATGTAGAAAACAAAACAGAAAAAAAAAAAAAAAAGGTAGGCGAACAAAGCGAAAATATAATTCACCCAAACTTCGTTAGCATTTTTCTTTTTGGTACAATTCTAATATTGCAAGCAATGGTCCAACTTTGGCATATTTCTTCAACTAAAATTGGTGTTGGTTGATCAACATCACTCTCCTTTTGTTTTCTCTCTCAAATCTCCCCCATCTTGGGTTTCTACACTGTTCTTTTTCTTCCTCCCTGTATCTTAGTCTTTTCTAGCTACCCACTTCCGAGGCATTTGGTGGATTTTTGCACTCACTCAACAAACCAACGTCTTCTCACATTTTTCTTTATGGCTATTGATATGATCTCCCCATAAACAAAACGTGCATCGACTTTATTTGTTTTTTTTTTATATCTTTTTCTGGGGCTTAAAATCAGTACTTCCATCACACAACTGTGCCCTTTAGGTTGCAGTGAATTGAGCCATTTCAAGATATTTTTCGGCTTTATTTTCCTTTAATGCACGAAAATTCAATCTAGTAAATACTCCACCATACACCTTAAGGGAAGGTTCCTATCATCCCTTTTCTAAATGTACCCTCCATTAATAATTGTTCTTATGATTGCAATCTGTACAGCAATAAAAATTTCATTATCTCAGTTCTAATATCCCCATTGTCTATATATGTACTTTAAGAAAAGTTATCGTAATATATACCCTTTGAATAAGTTAGATCTTTTACAAAATAAAAAAAA